TAATAAAAGCAGCCACAATTAAAAAAAATAACAGCAGTATTGATATCCAATAAGATAAGACTAATACTTTTGTCACTTTAAACAAAGTTGAGTTCCACTCAAAATTATAGGCCATTTTGGACGATCATAATAAATTTACAAAGTTAACCAAAAACACCACTAAAAACCATATCAATAAACTTATCACTGCTAACAATGCTGACACACGGTCCTATAAACTTCAAAAAATTATAGGTGACTTTTTTTTATAAAATTATATATTTTGTATGTGGGCATGTATGTGTATATTTGTATATATTAGTATATGTGTGTACGTATATGTATTGTATGTATATATGTGTATATGTAGGGGAATAAATTTACCAATTGTGGAATTGTTAGTTTTAAACAGAATCTGGGTTTTTAATGTAATTTTCAATAATAAATTATATTTTTCCATATTTTGTTTTTTTTAAAATTTTTTCAAAACTTAACTGTCTCGCCAATTTTGTTAAACATTTTAATAAATATAGCAATAACATAATGTAGTTATTTTCTTAAAATTTGTTTTTACAAATCTTTGTAGTTTATTTCCTTATAAAAGCTGAAAATAATTAAGAACAAATGTTTACATAAAAAAGAAAAGTGGGTTGCCAATTTTCTGAGAATATGTTGGCTAGTCTATTTTTAAATATTTTATAACTTTTCTAAGAAACTGTATGTTGCAAACAAGATGAAAGCCAGGTCACAGCTTGGTAGTGTCCACTGAGATCCATTGCTAAAGTGGAAATGGAAGACAGACATTAGTTGATGTCAAAATTGGAGGAGGGAGAGAAAGTTGAAGTGATAGCTATAGTGAAGTGACAGCTATAGTAAAGTTCGGCCTGCTCCTCAAAAAAAAAAAAAAAGAAAACAGTATCTACAATTTCCTGATGACTTTTATGCAGAAGAAAATGTTATTTTGCAAATTCTATCTCTATAATGTTGACATTTTAAGGGTTGACACAATCAAAAGGTCACAGCAAATCAAAAGCTCATTTGACAAAAAAAAAAAAAAAAAAAAAATGAAGAGTAAAAGGTACATGATTTTGTCCTTGATTTTTTGAAAATGTGCACTTTGACAATGCCTATAAAAAATTGACAAAATGTGGCCATTCATATTAAAACATTGTAAAGAAGGTGGTGCTATTTTAAGTGTCAATTGTGTTAAGAAAATAATTTTGGTAGATGAAGTTGCCTATCACTTTGCTGCCCTGAAAACCAAGCTTGCTAATCAACCAGCCAGCATCATAACAGATAAAAAAAAAAAAATGACTGTTGAGACCACAGCATTTTAAATGTAATTGCAATCAGTCATGGGGAGTCATTTCTCATTGATTTTGTAATCTTGCAACTGTATTCAAGCAGTAACTCATGTGGATATTACATTTAAGGATCTTATTGCCTTTGTAACAGATTCTGCAGCTTATTGCAAAAAAGGAAGTGTTGTCAAATGTTTTTGTTAACAGTTGTCATGTGTTGTGCTTAGCACACATTTTAAATCTTGTTGATGAAGTGTTTTTACACTGGCCAGCATTTGATAATGTCACCCAGCTCACTATTTTCATCAAGTCAGCTTTTTTTAAAAAGCAGAGTCGGAAAAAGTGATACTTAAAATGGCTTGAAGGTTCCTTGCATAAGGAGCAAGTGAAACTACTCCCTGTACCAGTGGTAAATGGAATTCCTGTTTTAATGAGGCCAAATATCACTCATAAGCAAGAAAAGAGCCATGGCCTTGCAGTAGATAGGATTCTAGAATTAGTAGGTGATGGTTGATTACATCGTGCCTCTTATCATAATTTGCACCTAAATCAGAATTTTATGAGAACTGCACTCGTTTAATTATAGCTTTGACAAACTTAGAAGAAACTAAGTCTCCACTTGCATGTGTTGTATATAACATGATGGAGGATGTAAAATAGTATTTGCATACTGGTACATCAAACTCAACATTTGGCCTAGAAACTGATTGTCTTCTGTCTGAACTAGAAAACACGAAGGAGAGAGTTCTCAAATTTCTAAGATTTTTTTCAGCACATCTTTTTCGAAACTGGATAAATACCTGGATACCCACCCTGTGTATAACTTTCACAAGGCAGCTCACCTGTTTGATGCTAGACAGCTACCCTGTATAGGCCATGATTTAGACAGTTTTGCAGCCATCAAGGACTTGCAATGTCTTTCTACTGATCTTCTTGAAGAATTCCAAATGTATATGAATTACCAAGATGATTTACCAAATCCTTTTAATATCCCATCATTTTTTATCTGCAAATAAAAGTAGATTTCCTCTTCTGGAACAGATTGTCAATAAGGTCATATGGATGCATGTTACCAGCATAGATGCTGAATGTTCATTTTCTCAATAAAAATTTACTCAATGAACATGAAAGTCTTACCCCTGAGAATACCAAGCGATTCACAATGTTGTATTACAATGGAGAGTTAGAGAAGAGATTTTTAGATTAGATATTTCCCAAATTAAGAAATTAGCAATTTTAAATTTGAGTATTATTTCAACTTGGGATAAGTTGTTTTATTTAAATTTTGAATTAATATGTCTAATTTGTTTTTTTAATATTTTGTTAAAAGATTCAGTTATTATGCTTTAATTACTGTTTTGTAAAATTTTAGCCAAAATGTTTAAGTTTATTCAGATATTTATTGAGATTCAAGTTATTTGCTGTTGATACTTTAAATGTGATTTTTATATTATGAATCAATTATAAATCAATCTAAATAGTTTTACATATAAAAACAATTTGAATGTGTTTTGAATGTGTTCTTAAAGAAGGAAGCTCTGATTAAAAGTTTTACCTCAAAGATAATTATGCATTGTAACATTCCATTGTTTTATTGTCTAGTCAAGTTACATTTTTTATTTTTTTATTTTTACATATTTATTTTTGGACTGGGATTTTAACATTTAAAATATTTTTTGTAGATATTTGCTATTTCTTTATATGCAATAAAACTTTGAATTATATTTTTGTTTTCAGTTTTAATAATTATAGCATATTGTATTGCAATTTTCTTATAAAATACTATAAAATGAAAAATATGAAATTTCTCAAAAGTAAAAACAGAAGGACCCCACCCAACCCTCAAAAAACGGAATTTACCAAAAGTGGAAAAGGATTCAAGGAAAATTTGAAGGCCCTATATATGTATTGTGTGTATGTATATTGTACACTTGATAGGGTATGTTTGGATATTATGTATATATATACTTCTTTTTAGGTATATACGTGTGTGCGTATATATATGTATATATTTATGTGCATGTGTGTATATGTATTTATATATAAATGTGTATATGTTTTGTGCTTTTTTGGCACCTTTGTAGAATAATTTTTGTTATTTTATTACTTTATTTTCACAATCACCTTTTTTAAAATTACACGGGTATTGATGCTGTAAATAACTTTTGAATATATTCAATCTTAAATCCCAATGATTACCAATTCTGAATCACCTCTCATTTTTTCCTTGTCTTTCTCTTGTTTTCTTCCTCTTTCCTTTCTTTTTCCCTTGCTCTCTTTCCTCTGTTCCTTTTTGAAGATCTCACATCTGGTGAAAATAGGTCAGCCTGTCTGCTCTCATCCACAACGGTTTTCTTTTTCCATATTACTCCCCCTTCCCTATATCTCTCTATACCTATTCCTTTCTCTCCCTTCCCCATATTGAATCCTTATTTTAAAGCATATTTTAGGTTTAATATTTCGGTTTTTGCCTGTACTTGGAAAATTTTTTTTTAATCCATTTATTGTTGAAACCATTTGGTCTGATGAGACCAAACTGAAGAATTGGTGAAATAAAATATTACCATGGGTTTCTAAAGTCTCCACTTTCATAACCATCATTTGCTCTCTTTGCATTTATATACTCTTTGTATTTATTCATATGGATTATCAAATAATAATAATAATAATAATAATAATGATAATAATAATGACTATTCCACCATCAAAATATTAATAAAACCCACATTTGTACCAATCTCATTGGTTGGACGTGCTCCTGCCGTCTTCAAGAGTCGTCTTAAAGCTGGTAACTTGAACATAATTACCCCTTGGCGGTCAAGGTTAAAACGCAAATCTCTACCAATTTCAATGAATAAAATTTCATACCAGATCAGTCATCACTTGGGTCAACAAGGGCAGTGTCCCTCAGAGAGGAACCACTCTGAGGACAAAAAAATCTGTCACTGGAACAAACTCTTCCACAAACAAAGAGATAGTAGGTCACCAAACCCGGACTATTGCCAACATTGGACCATTGACTCAATACCAAATGGACTAATAAAAAAAAAAAACGAACGAAATGGTCTCTTGAAGAGTATCGACAAGTCATAACATCATTCTTCACTGCACTAAAAAACCCATCAAAGAACACCACAAATCAAACATCCCAAATATGGAAAACTGTAGTCACTCCGACTTATACTAAGTTAAAACTTAGTATAGTCTAACCCACTGAACACATTACTCCATTATGTTCTCACAAGTACAGCCCACACTTTACAAAGGGCTTTATCTATGTAAAATATTTTTGTCAGTGGAAAGTGACATGATACCATTTCTAACCTTAGGTCTGTGGGCGGGACCCAGAAAAAAAAAAAAAAAAAAAAATTATATATATATATATATATATATATATATATTATACACAGAAAAGATGTATCTTGTAAAATTGGTTTTATTTTTCTAAATAAAAACATCTCCCATGAACTAAATTGTCATTTTTATTCACATTTAAAGTAAAAATAATGTGCACTCATCTGTTTTATCTTGCATATGGAGAAGGGTCAGTAAGTCCTTAGTGTAATGATCTTGGAAAAGCATTTATTTTACACAACAAATTAAATTTATTTTTAACAATTCAGTACTGCATATTAATTACATAAATCAAAATTTAATAACTGTCATATTACATTGTGTGTGTGTGTGTGTGTGAGAAATATAAATATTTGGGAAGTTTACCTTTGATAATTTGTGAAGTTCCTAAAATTCCTGCAACAACTTTCAATAAGTCTGGTAACAGGAGAATGATCTGTATGCATGAAGGAAAAAAAAAAAAAAAAAAAAAAAAAATTAAATTTTACACACAATCAATTTTTAATTGTTTGTTCATCAATGTTATCAAATCCAATTTGTAAATATAATCTCATTAGCTACAATTTTTAATCTAAGTATTTTTATCATTTTAAAGTACAACTTATGTCAACCTGGAATTACAAATTTAATATTTCGATGTATTTAGATACCTCATTACATATTTTATGGAGTAGTTAAATTGAGAAACTACATTTAATACTTTAATGCTACTCTAGTTTTAATTAAGCAATTTTAACAAGTAAACCAAGTATATAAATAAATGGAATGATTAATTTACTATTAGCAGAAAGACAGGAAAAAATATTTTATAATGAATGCTTTGTACAAATAAAATATCAGTTTCTAGTTCCAAAATTATAAATTTATGTTGACAGGTCAAATTATATTAGCTTTATTCTGACAGTAATATTTACATTAGTTCTTGACCATTGAAAATCTTTTATGTTCAATACACAACACTGAAAAGGTTCAAATTTTAGATCAAAAACTGAAACATTTAGGAATTAAGTCATCAAATTCCATGTTGAAGTTCTAACATTATCACAAGGATTTTAATTTACTTAAAGCCCCATGGAAGATCACTTGCACTAAAAATAGACAAATTCTGCTATGAGGAGAGACAAAAATCTACCCTTTGTACCCTAAGGAATGTTGTCAAATTTAATATTTTCACAGAAGTCTTCTAGCTGAACATCAGTATTCAGGGATTTACTTTTTGAATTATTTCCTCTGTTCATGCATGAAATGAACTATGGAAATTTTAGCTACTAACTTCCTATACATGATTTTAATATTTGCTATGTCACTATGTAATCATTCATGAAGGTTTGGAGGTATGTTTCATAAATCCTACCCATGATATCATTGATAACAATCAGAAGATAGTATGTCACTTATAGTTTATTAATAGTACTCATTTTTTAGTATTCAAGTGGGATATTAAATTTCATGTTAAGAATCTGATATCATCTTAAAACAATAACATTTCAAATAATCAGATTTGGAAAGTTAAAAATGAATTTATCTTTAAAAGTAAATATATATTTTTATTTTACAATTATAGGTTTACAAAATTTAACACTAATAATTTTAGCCTGATCTTTTATGAATAATTTTTCTTTTTACTGTTTTAGAGTTTTTTGTTTTTATTATTTTTAAATCAGAAAATGTTAACTTACTTCAGGTTTACTTCTTGAAAACAAGTTCATCAAACACTGGAATACAACAGCATTTTCATCAAAATCCTCTTTCAATGGTAAATACTGAAAGATGACTGGTAAAATCTATAATAAAAAACCCCAAAAAACATTAACTGTAAAATTAACAGACAAAAACTGAGGTTTCTTTAAGGACGTAAAATTTAAATTTGTTGCATTATCATTATAATATACTATTATCAATTACAACTACTCAATTGTTATGAACTTCATTATACATAGGTTTATTAGCATCAACTAAAGATACTTAAAAAAAAAAAAAAAAAAAAAAAAAAACCAAATGATACACATAACAAAAGAGATGGAGAACAAGAAATTAAAAAGTGTTAAGGTTTGAAGTAGATTGTACTGAAAATTATAAGACATGAATTTATCTAAAATATTTTGTTGTTCTCACCTGGTCCAGTGGAAGTTCATCTGGCTTTTGTTCAATGATTCGACAAGCAGTTGCACAGATATTATCTTTCACAGAATCTGTTTTCTCCTGCTGAAGTAAGGCGAACAATTGTGACAAAATGTCAAAAAGTTTACTGCAAGAATGTGTTAAGGAACTCTACAAGGGGTTGCTGAGAAGTTCACATCCTGACCAAGAAAGAAGTAATGATTAAAAAAAAAAAAAAAAAAAAAAAAAAAATAACCCCTATGTTTAGTCAGATTGAGTGAGTGAGGACAACTTTTCAGCACTTCACTTGCATATATTGCTTGAATTCAAACCAATTTGCATATATAATTTATTCAAGTAGAAAACAAAAACTAATGATTCATACAGCATGTGGGATACTGAATCAGTATAGAGCTGGGCAATTTTGGAATCATGGTATTGTACTTAATTTGAAAGTTGGGTTTGGCATAAATAATGACAAAGTATTATTCTCCATATCATGACCGTTTTTTGAAAAAAAGAGTTTAAAGATTAAGCTGAGGTTCAAAATTGAAGCATTGAAATTTCATTACAGATCAGTGAAAGATTTAACGCAGTCAAAAACTTCCAGACCCTTATGGAAAACAAATGTGTAAATATCATTTAAAATGTTTTCCAATTGCAACATTTACCTTGTACTCAATAAATCAAAATTATGAATAATGTAAAAATATTTAAGCAAAAGGAAGATTAAGTACAATGTATAAATAATAAACGTATTTAGGTTGTGATGAAAATCAACCCCTTTTTTAGTCATATGGAATTTTTCCGGGGAGTGGAAGGTTGTCACGGGGAATTAAACTAATAAAATAAAAAAAAACAAAAAAAACACAAAAGCATAAAACCTCATAAAAAAGAGATCTCCAATTTAAACAACAGAGTAGTATATTTCATTTGTGAACCATGCCCCCAAACTTTCTTTGATGGGTATTATTTACATTCTCACAGTTATAAACATTTGCTCTCAAACACTGATCTTTTGTCACTGTGAAATTAATTAATTCTTTTGTATTTTTATACAACTGCTGACATAATTATTTGAAACAGAAAGTAAACATTTAATCTGCATAATGTTTCATTTTCAAAGTGCCTGGCATTTATTTAAAACGCATTTCCATTTAGTTAATTAATACTTACTTTCTTTCTATTTTTATTTCAAATTTACTTTTCAAATCTTATTAAAATAGGGTAATGCCAAACCCTGGTAAACTGCTCCAGCAGGTGGGCTAAATGATATGAGGGGGTAGTGTTTGCACTGCACTACTGGGCAGATGATCTGCATGGGCGGACAATGGACTCAATGACCAAGTGCACAGACCAAGGGCAATCCGCATCATATTAGTGGTTTCAGCTGTCAGTCAAGGACTTAAAGAGAAGATGGGCGCAGCCAATTTGTTCACAAGCCCACTGAAAGGATTATGAAGCAAGTAAAATATAACTATACTGGATCAGTCTACGCTTGGTTTAACAACCACCATACATCCCATTAATTCGTTTGAAGATGGGCGTGATATGTCGGCTACTGCGAAACATGCTATCAGGTTATCAATAAAAAAATTTATAACAGGAACCTGGAATGTTGTGTTTGTCTTGTCTGGTATTTGCACGTCTGCACATCAGGAGCACTTCTTGACAGAGAAAAACACTGGTGTTATATAGCTATCTCAGTCCCCGACCCATGCTGACTATTGTTTAATACCTGCCTAGTATCGTTCATATGCGAATAGTCAGCCCCACCTACTCTAAGTAGAAAGCCTTCTCTCAACAGCTTATTGTGGAAGAGGATGCAACTCTTGGTGTTTACAGCACCAAATACAACCAACTTAAAGTCTTTTCTTGGGCTGACCCAATTCTATGTTATACCCCCCCCCATCTCCTGATCACAGCACAAACATAACCACCTCTGTAGAACACTGGCAAGTTCACCAGCCTTATTTTGGTTGGACTTTGCCAGCCTCACATCCAAGTTGAGGTTATACTCTGCAATTAGTGCCCGAAGGATCCCCAGTCATCTCTGCATGAGCATCTCACATGCTGCCTTTGTTTTCAGGCATGCCTTTCCAGTTAAGGTGTCATTGACCCAGTGGTATGTACACGCAGAATCAGTGACCAGATGCAACACTTTCGCATTCCACTAAAGGGTCAAGTTTATGCCCTTTAATGTTGCACCAAGCTCATATGTTGAGTATCACCATCACGACGAAGCCTGCATGCATCCTTCACAATGTCTCCATTCACTTCCAGTGCCACACCAGTGACCAGGGAACCTGCATCCATCAACACTGTCATTTCCTGGCTGCTCAAGTACCAGCCTCCTCTTGCAAAGTCTTCGATGCATTCTCATCACCATCTCGTGGATTATATGCTTCAGGGTGGTGTCAGAGGTTTCATAGTCTCAACCTTTGGTTACTGCAGTGGTCCGTCGCTTTAAGAATGCAGCAGCTGCCCTAAGCCAACCACATACTAGAAGGTGACCTACAAGTTTTCTGTAGAGAAAAAACGTATTACAATGCATGATAACAGTTGGTATATCTGAACTTACTCCCTCGCCTCCATCAAAGTACACTGTGCTCCCCCCAGACTTGCAAATCAAGCAGTCCAAAGTCTGATATATGCTTTTTGATGTGTGCCACGGAAACTGCACTTTTGTCGACAAAGATGTCATCTATGTATGCCAAAGTGGCATTTTGGATTGCTTCATCCTGTGATAGTACCATATTGATAATTGTTTTCATCATAAGAGGCGCCACATTGAGACCAAAGCCTAAGTGCATAAAGCAGTACCTTCACCCTTTCAGTAATATGGTCTGGAAAGGCCACAATGACCGGTGTACATGGATCTGTAGGTACACTCTCCAAAGGACCAACAGTAATACATTGTGCCCGCGTTGTTGCCATTCCCTTAGCTTGTCTGCACAGACATCTGCACTTGCCATAAATGCATCTACATACTCCTTTAATTGTCTGTAATCCATTACAGGGCGTACCTTTTCTTTGCTCTTTTGGATAACAGCCATCAGTAGAACTAGCCCCCTTGGGAGGCCCGAGTTCCTCCTCAGGATATGGTATGAGCCAGCTGTTATCCAACCGGGTGTCTAACTCCTGGTCATATTCTTTACACTCTAGCTTGGACAGAGGATACTCTGCGATCTTGTTTTGTAGGCTCATTGGTGTCTAATTTTCAGTCCACTTCCATGATGCTGGCCACACTTTCTATTTTTGTTCAAACTCAACGCTAAAGTCTGGTTCCTTTATAGTGAGAGCCACACACAGGGATGGTTCTTTGTTGAAAAAATCCACTGCACCTGAAGGAGTGATTCCTACTCCCCCTAATTCTTTGATTGCATTCATCCCTATCAGAAGGTCAAAATCAAGTGGCTTTTCTCGTGCCACCAGTACGTCAATCTTGACAGGACTTCCACCTTGCAACCAGAAAGCAACAACTGATTCCACAACAGGCTCTGGTCTCCCCATCTATCATAGTTATGCATACAGGCCCTTTTGTCCACAACTGGCATATATCTCTGCTGGCTATAGACAGTATTGACCCAGTATTGACCAGCGCAGTGACAGTTCTGCCATCAACCTGGACCCAGATCACAGGTAGTGCTGAGCTGGAGAAGATACTGGTACTGACATCTCTTCTCACATTTTCTTGGACAGTTTTGAGACATATGGCCCACGGTATGGCAACAGTAACAGTGCATGGTATTGCATTGTCCTTGCTCTCAACCAGTCATTTTTATCGGCTCTGGCAATCTTTCGCTATGTGGCTGATACCACTGCATCGAAAGCACTTTCTGACATGAACACCTGTACTTTGCATTGGCCAGGCCACCACGACTTTCTTCATCTCATCTCTCATAATTGCTGGGGCTCAGTCAAGCAGCTAGTCATTAGTGCGACCATCCTAAACAATGCAAGAAGAGTCCGCTTTACATTGCCTGGTAACCCATGCACAAATGTGCAAGCCAGTATACAGTCACTCATCCTACCCATCAAGAACATGAGTTTCTTTAATTCAGCCGGGTATACATCCACAGATTCATCGTACTGCAGGTGTCGCTCAATGAACCGTTTATATGCCATAAATGAATCTGTAGCAAAGGCTGTATCTAAGGCAGTCTTTATCTGGTAAACATCAGATTTTACTTTGTCATCCAGTTGTTGGTAAACTGCAAATGCTCTGCCCATAAGTCTCAAAGGGATCATGTGCTCCAAAGAATTCACTCCACATAGCCTACAGATGAGTTCCAGATTCTCTATCCATTCAACCACTGGAAGACTGGACATTGATCCATCAAACTTGGGAATTAGCTTTAAATCGAATTTGGGGTCTGCCATTGTTCATCAATCGTCAAAATGGCTTATGTTCATCTTGTCTGGTATTTGCATGTCCACATGTCGGGAGAACTATCGACTGAGAAAAATACTGGTGTCATAGATCTATCTTAGTCCCAGACCCACACTGACTATTGGCTAATACCTGCATAGTATCATTCATATGGAAATAGTCAGCACCACCTAATCTAAGTAGAAGGTCTTCTCTCAACAGCTTATTGTGGAAGAGGATACAACCAACTCAAAGTCTTTTCTCGGGCTGACTATTCTGTTACAAATGTCTTCACCCTATACGCCCCTGGAAAAACCCAAGAACTTACTCATGGACTGAAACGTTATCACTGGGACATCATTGGGATGTCTGAAGTCAGATGGATTGGTTTAGGTGAAACAACTATGCAAGATGGACATGGGTTTTCTGAGATTAGAAGAAGCACCAACATGGAGTGACATTATTGTAAGGAAAGAAATTACAGTGTCATCAGTTTTAATCCCATTTCCAGCAGACTTATTTCTAGCCATGTATCAGCCAGATCATACATGACCATCATCCAGGACTATGCACCAACATTGATAAAATTGAGGATTTCTACGAATTATTAGAATTTACCCTGAGAAACGTCCCCCTGGAAAGACATCAACATACAAGGGGATTGGAATACCAATGTAGGACCAAATACGTACACAAGAACAGTTGAAAGATTTGGCATTGGGAGACAAACGACAGAGGTATTAGACTGCTTGAATTTGCCAGAAATCATGTCACCCTGGCACAAACTCTGCACCTATATAAGCTATCCCAAACTACAACTTGGCACTCACCTAATGAGAAGATCCATAACCAGATCAATTTTATTTTGGTTCCAGTGCTATAAATCCAGCATTAACAAGACAAACACAAATGACATTTCCTGATGCAGACATTGGCAGCAATTATGATCTTGTGATGACGATTTTTAAATTAAGGCTGAAAACTAAGTGCTGTTCAAAGGACTCTTGCATCCGCTTCAACCTTGAGAAACTAAAAGACCCTGAAGTTAATCAATTGTTCCAGACCAAAGTTGGCAGCAAGTTCGCATCCCTTAAATTATTTAACAGTGGTGTAGACACGTTTGCAGATCACATTAAAGTGTTACTCACAACAGATGAGAATGATTTGGGCAAACAGCAAAGGAAAATCTGACCATGGGTCACAATCAAAATCTTGGATTTGGGTGACAAGAGGAGAGAACTGAAGAGAGAGAAGTACTCAAGTGCAAAGGTCTATGCCCAATATCAAGAAATGGTAAGAGAGAAGAAAAATGCAGGCAGCTAATGAGAAGTGGATAAAAAATAAGTGCAAAGCCATTGAGAAGGATATGCTTACTGGTAATAACAAACAGGCCTACAATATTTTCAAATCCCTCACTAAGACCAGCCAACAGAGAGCAATGATTGTAGAGGATGAGAATGGTAAATTGCTGATGGACAGTGAGGAGGTCCACCATAGATGGACTCAATACTGTGATGGTTTATACAATTACCAGCTCCACCCAGATGTCTCCATATTGCAAACTGAGCAGCACTCCACAGAAGACAAGACCAGTCTGCCAATACTGAAAGAGAAGGTTGAGTTGGCAGTAATGAACTTGAAAACTGGCAAGTCACTATAAAATCCACTCTGAGCTGATAAAACATGGAGCTGAAGAAATCAAAGGCATAACAGTACTATGCCAGAAGATTTGAGAACAAAAAAGTGGCTTAATGAGGGGACTCAGTCATTGGTAATACCCCAACCAAGGAAAGGAAACATCACACTGTGTCGAAATTATAGAACAATAAGCCTGATCAGTCATCCTAGTAAAGTCCGGCTCTGTATCATTTTGAATAGTTTGAAATCCAAGGCTGAAGAATTGCTATCAGAGGAACAAGCAGGTTTTAAAACTGGACAAAGTATATTGGAACAGGTCTTCATTTGTAAGATCCTCGTAGAGAAACAACTGCAACATCAGGAGGACATGTTCCACAACTTTTTCAATTTCAAGAAAGCGTTTGATCATGTATGGCATGACAGTGGCAAATCCTTAGGGAATTCAGTGTAGATAATGGAATTATCCAAGTCATCTAAGCTCTATATAAAGATGCCGCCAATGCAGTTCCGAGAAAACAAATGGGAGGATTCTTCCAGACAGCTGTTGGCGTGAGACAAGAATACATACTTTCACCCACATTGTTCAACCTCTTTCTAGAGAGAACCATGAAAGAAATCCTGAACAATCATAATCCTTCAATCTTTATTGGTGGTTGACCAGTCTTTAATCTATGTTTTGCAGATGACATTGACCTCATAGCAGGTAGTAACAGTAAGCTTGTTGAAAGAGCAGGAGCATATGGAATGGAGGTCAGCACCAAGAAATCCAAAGTAATGGTGAATAGGACAGACATTAACACCTGTGTCAACATTACCATGAATGGGAATTCACTGGAGGAAGTGTCCAGTTTTAAATACTTGGGAACAATATTGTCTAAAGATGGTACCTGCAACTCTGAAATCCGCACATGGAAAAATGGCAAGAATATAGAGTAGCAAAATCAGATTTCAAAACGTACAGACTGCACAAATCGCTGGTAGTCTCAATTCTCCTATATGGATGTGAAACGTCAACACTGTTGGCAGTAACAGAGAAAAGAATCCAAGTGTTTGAGAACAAATGCATGATAAAACTCTTTGGCATCTTTTATTGGGAACATAAAACCAATGTCTTTGTGCAAAAAAGATTGAAAGTTTTGTGGGCCACCAGGAATTTCTTCTCACCACTATCAAAAATGGAGAAAAATGGCATGGTTTGGATGCACAGGCTGTCATGCCTTGTAACAAGACCATCATGCAAGGCACTGTTGAAGGTGGACATAGGAGAGGATGCCAACAGAAAAACTGGTTGGACAATGTCAAACAATGGACAAGTATGACTATCAATGACAGCCATCAGCAATTCTGGTATAGACTGTTACAAAAGTCAAGGGGATGTTGATGAATGTTTACAATTGTCCTCCTCACAAGAAGTTTAACATACACATTTTGATATTTCAGATTCCCATTGAAGGGAATATTTAAAAGCTCAGAGAAAAACAGGACCAAAAGACAGTTTCCAATTTATACAATGCAGTAGTTTTAGTGAGATTTTTAATAAACAATACAAATTTAAAACATTTTGTTTATAATTTGTGTCCAGCAGTGTTAGAGTGTTATGCAATTTGACAGGTCATTAAAAAACACACACACACACACACACACAAACATAAGATCTTATTCATTGATTAGCCTTTTTTGTAATCTTATCTTATTTTTTTATTTTTTTTTTACACAATTTTCACTTATCAAATACAGTAAAAATTGCATATTTAGAATTCTGGTTTGAATAGACTTTCCATTCAATGAATGGAACGCACCTCCCCCATCCACACAAAAAAAACTATTCTTGAAATAGTAAAATTCTGAAGTCGGTTTGTAAGCAAAAACCTGCAGAAATTAGACATTTCTGTATATATTTTTTTTTTTTTAAAATGATCTTTAAGATCAAATGCTCAAAAATTGGAAAAAGGCTATTAATCTAATTTTTGGTGTCAGTACTTATGTCAAATCCCAGCTTTCACACAAAATGCAGTGTTGATTTTGTTAAAAAAAAAAAAAAAAAAAAAAAAAATCAACCAGCCGTAACATACAACCATATTTTTGTTTGAACACTATGTAATTTATTACAGTTACTCACAAAGTGGATTAGTAAGTCTGTAGCCTGATATGAATTTAATTGACTAACTGCAATAACAAAGAGATTATGTTGAAAAAATATATGACATACAGAAAACATTTTCTCAACAGGCTACAGACTTACCAATAGTATAACAAGTGCAAATGCAAAATTGCTGTATATAATAAAATCATTTATTATATATTAAAATGACTAGAAACTAACTTAAATTTTTTTTTTTTTTAATCTACAAATGAACCACCAGTATAAAGTAAATTATTTTAGGTGTTAGTGAACACCTTTAAGCATTATATATTTAGTGACAATCCTGTCAGGAAAACACCTAATAACCAAATCTTTCATAGTAATAAGTTCATTGACAATATTCTTTTAAAACCTAGACGAAAAGAAAGATGAAATGACCCAATCCAAAAGGCAAATTTCTCTTGTGACCAATTTAGTCACTCTACAATTCATACTGTCTATTGTATAAAACAACTTTAAAAAAAGGATACCTATGTAGTAATGCTTCCCCGTTGGAAATGACAATTCCAAGGCCAAAAACTGCATTGTTTCTAACTTCACTGTCAGTATCTGAGATTCCTTTCATGAAGACAGGGAAAATATCTTCTGTTAAAGGAGCAGATGCTTTTCCACAGGCTTCCAGAGTTTCTGCTAGAGTTCCAAATGCAAATGAACGGTCAGCAGGAGTTTGAGTACTCTTCTGAAAACAAAATAGAAGGGTTTAATAAAATATTCAACAGAATATTTGAGTCAAGGATAAGTAAGCCTAATTTCCTTTTTAATTGATGAATATTTGGGTATAAGTATTTTCATTTTTTTTTTTTACAGACATTTGGGAAAAGAAAAATGAAACAATATCTGACTACTGCCAAAAATTGCTTTAAGGATTTTAAAAAGTTGGTGACTTTGCTCCAGAAATGAAGTCTAGAACTGGACAATCATCAGGTGTTGATTTCTAATAATGTAAAATGTCGTCACTAGTACTTAAAAAAAAAAAAAAAAAACTTTCAGAAAAGCTAGGATCATAAAATAAATATATAAAATGCAATGATGTATATATGTAGAATGCAAATACTTTAATCATGGTAGGTAAAATAACTGAGTTGAGAGAAGGGATAAAACAATAAAGAGAGGGTTATACAGAGAGGAGATAAAGGATAAAGAGAGACACTTTTCTTTCTTCAAAGATACTAACATTCATACCTCAGAACTATAACGTAATCTTAAATAATGTACTGATGAAAGTGATGAAGTAGATATTTGTGCATAATTCCATTCCTCTTCCCTACCTGTTTGAAACTGGTCAAACTTGGGACACTAAATTAGTCCTACATTTTATTTTATTTCTATATAATAAAAGGTACTGAGAACAAAGCATGTGATTGTGCTGTACAGGAAAGTAGGAGTTGAAATATAAATCAAGCATCAAACTACTGGGTGGAAAATAATGGATTGATTGACAGTTGTTTTACCAGCTTATCAACCTCTGTGGGTTATTTAATGCTGAAACTGGATTTTTATTCAGGAATATTTCAGAACATTTCAAGTGGTTGTGAGGGTTTAAAATGGTTTTCAAAATATCACAAGTTATATAGTTCAGGGGCATTTCAAAACATAAGTTGTATGATAAAACATGCTTGCTCTATTTTCTATAGACGTTGGAAGTATTTTATTTTCTTCAGATATCCTATTATTTGAGCAGTAGGTACATTTTTGAAGAGCATGTTAAGATGTTGAGCTTGGTAATAGTTGCTACATATTTTTTGTACTTATTCCATTTTGTCAAGATATATTTGACTATGAGAAATTGGTTGCAGTGAGTACACTGAGGTGTAGTTTCTGCCTTGTGTGTGTGTTCAATTCTTATTCTGTTGAGCACTGTTTTGTCTGCAATCTGCTAATGGCTCTATATTCTCTTTTCTTATTGTTGGCTGATGTTCATATAGTTTATTATTTGTGAACGTGTCAAAAGTAATTTGGGACATGTTCCCAAATAGCTTGCCATTTTCTCTTGATGTGTTGTGTAATTTTGTTTTTATAATCTGTATATGGGAGTTTGATGTTGGCTATTTCCATTTTCACTGTGTCTTTTACCAGAGTGTCGGCTTCATGATTTCCTTTAATGCCCATATGGCTAGGAATCCAGGCCAATATTATTGTTTTGTGCTTTATTAAATGATGACAAGCTTCTAGGATTTCTTGAATATAGTGATGATTTATGTTATTTTCTTTAATTGCTGTTAAACTAGATAGGGAGTCTGAGAAGATTATAAATTTCTTATCTTTTCAATCTTCTATCATTTTAAGTGCCATTTTCATGGCTTGTAGTTCAACAGTATAAATGGATGCATTATTTGGTAGCCTGGTTTGTTAGTGAATTTGCCAGTTTGTGGCTGCTACACCTCTTCTACCTAGGATTTTTTATCCATCTGTGTAGAATAGTCTATAGTCACAATATTTGTCTCTTAATTCTCCATATATGCTTTTGTTGATTGGCACATTAAAAAAAAAAAAAAAAAAATACAATGTAAGGCCTATGTGAGGTTTGGAGATTGTCCATAGAGGTAAACTTACTGTGACTGGTGTAACATTACTGTTTCTGATTCAAAGACCAAATGAAGGGATGACTGTTGGTTTATTTCTATAGAATTGAGTATATCAAGGTTTGTACATTTTTGGGATGCTGAGTTATTTGGGTTAGATTGCAATTTTAGTGCATATTGGAGGAATAATTTTCCCCATCTCAGAGATAACAGTGGTTCATTGGCTTAAGTCCGGAAAGCTCTGAGACTTAATCTCAGGCCTTGATTTTGTATGGTTTGTAGTTTTTCAAGATAGGACTTACGTGCAACACTGTAAATAATGCATCCATAGTCTAGTTTTGATCTAATATGTAACCTATATATTTTGAGCATTACTTTTTGGTCAGCACCCCAATCCAGTTTTGATATTAATTTAGGTCCTCCAAAGCCTTTTGGCATTTTTGCTTAAGATAGCAAACTTCAAAGCGCACATTGACTATCTAGTATGATTCCTAGATATTTTATTTGTTGGATTATGAGAATTATGTGTTTATTCAATTTTAATTCTGGATCAAGGTGATAGGCTCTTTTTTTTTTTTTTGTAGAAATACATACAAACATTTTTTTGTTTTGGAGAAACAGAAACAGTTTTCATTCGTCTATCTTTCTATCTTGTTTAAACATGTTTGTAGATCTCTTTCAAGGGAAGGCATGTTTGGTGATGAGTATGATATTGAGAAATGATCTAGATATAGGGATTTTTCAATTCCTGTATTAATGGTTTTAATAATACTCTTTGTAACGAGCATGTGCGGAAACGTCTTCGAACTGCGTGTGTGTGTTGTCGCCGGGCACACCTCGGAGTACCATAATGGACTCGACCAAGGACTACAAGAAGACGCGCGAGTCGTTTGGTGTCTTTTCTTGGGTGACAAAAGTTGGTCGTTCGTTGCAGCAGTCTTGGGTGCCGTTTTGCTCGTTTGCTGTCGTAAAGTGTTCGTTCGCAAGTAGGCGTTTGTTTTTGTGTCGCAAGTAGGCGTTCGTTTTTGTGTCACAAGTAGGCGTTTGACTTCCTGCTCAGACTAGACGTCATCAAACAGTTGGGAGGAATATCTGTAACTGGCACCGGTGAGGTGAAGTTTCCACAGTGTGTCGAACCAGTCATTGCTGCCATCACCATTACCGAGCCCGACTTTAAAGTAGAATTCAATGAGACCACTCAGGGGTGGACCGCATCTTGGAAATGGGCTGGCAACCAATCTCCGGGTACGTTAAGAAATAGACTAGCAGAATATCCAGCTCCCGCACAAATTCGGGAGGAGTATGATCGGGAACTCCAGATTTGGATAGATAACGACTGGCTGCTTCCTTACCCGGAGGAGGAACTCGGACCCCCAAAGGGTTTAATCCCCCTCATGGCCATTCTGCAGGAAACCAAACAGAAGGTTCGGCCCGTTATGGACTCAATGAGTACGTCGATGCGTACAGCACAGATGTTTGTTCGCAAAAATTACGTCAATGGCGTCAGCAAGGACCAAATGCTGCAGTGCTGGACCTACGCTGGGTCTAACTGCAGGTACACATCGACAAGTCCCTTTGGCCATTCCAAACAGTGGAGATTAAGGGACAAAGGTATTGTCTAATCCGCTTAGGATTTGGGCTCAATGTTGCCCCTTTAATCATGTGGGCCATTGTTAATACCGTCTTGAGCCAGGACGAGATTGTCAACGCAGCCTCCTCTTATATTGACGACGTTTTTGTTAATATGAGTGTGTGTTCTGTGGTCCGCATCAAGGAACATTTGGAGAAGTTTGGTCTGTCAAGACAGACCCCGGAGCGGCTAAGAATTGGCACATGCGTATTGGGATTGCATATCTGAGAGGAGCAAGGAAAACTGCGATGACGTCGTGGATGTGAACTTCCAGTAGTCCCCGATAAACTTACCCGCCAAATTGTTTTCTCGCTGTGCGGGAAGTTGACTGGTCATTTTCCTGTATGCGGTTGGTTATGTGTCGCCACGGCATTTGTGAAGCAGAGGGCAAACACTGTTACCACTGGATGGGACGATCAAGTGCAGGACCATTTTCTAGCCCAGATCGACAACATTTTTAAGAGACTAGCCCAGACGATCCAGTGAAAGGTGACTGGTGCATCAGTGAGAAAAAATGTAACCGTGTGGGTAGATGCAAGCTCCTTAGCCACCAGTGTGGTTGTGGAGAGCAATGGCGCCGTGGCAGAAGACGTAAGCTGGCTCCGACCAGTGCACGAAGACAAGCACATCAACTTGGCTGAGCTCAATGCTGTGTTGCGAGGTGTCAACCGTGCATTACAATGGAAGGCCAAAATCATTCATTTACGGACAGACTCAGCATGTGTGCATCGCTGGGTAGCTGGCACTCTGTCCGGACGGACACAAGTGCGCACCAAGGCAGCCTCCGAGATGCTAATTAGACGTCGGCTAGCCACACTCCAAGAGTTGGCCTTAGAATGTGAGCTGGACATTGATGTAGAGCTTGTCAAGTCATGCAATAATTGAGCTGGCCAACTTACCAGAGTACCGCAGCAATGGTTAAATGAAATGCGCAAAATAACGGAACCCAGAGAACCCATGTGCGCTGTGGCTGAAGAGCGAGACGTTGCTCAAGTACGAGCCATTCATCAATCCAGCGGACATCCTGGTGTGAAGAAAACACTATTTTGTGAAGTTGATTGACCCAAGTGTAACAAAAGCTGAGGTGCGAGCGGTGGTTAGGGGATGCAATTAATGCCAGTCAATCAACCCGTCCCCTGTGCATTGGAAACCGGGCAGGCTTGATGTCGCGGAAAATTGGCACAGGGTTGCGATGGATGTAACCCATTTCGGACATCAACTATACCTGACGCTGATAGATTGCGGCCCCAGTCGTTTTGCCATTTGGAAGCCTTTGCACTGCCAAGACTGCTAGCATCATCAAGGAGTTGGAAGTAGTGTTTTGTGAAAGAGGGCCGCCAGTTGAGCTGCTTACGGATAATGGCGCAGCGTTTTGTGGAGAGAGGTTTGCCGCATTTGCAAAGATGTGGAATGTACAAATACGATTTAACTGTGCCCACATACCATCAGGGAATGGGATAATTGAGAGATCCCATCGTACAATAAAGCGCATTGCGACGAAAACACGGTGTTCAGTTTTGGAAGCTG